ATTATTATTATTATTATTATTATTATTATTATTATTATTATTATTATTATTATTATTATTATTATTATTATTATTATTATTATTATCATTATTATTATTATTATTATTATTATTATTATTATCATTATTATTATTATTATTATTATTGTTATTATTGTTAATTATTAATTGTTATTATTATTAGCAAAATTATTCAGAAAAAACACAATAACAACAAAAGGAATAGCAGGTTTGCTAGGGTACAAATTGCATAAGTATCGTGATCATTTCATACATTCATTGCCGATTTTTGTCATTATCATTAATGCAACTGTCTTTTCTTCCTTTAATTATTGGTGCTGCTTGAAAATTTCACTAATTTTTGATTTCAAAACACCGCCCATTTTGTTTTGTCTTTTTTTAATGTTTGTTTTGTCTTCTTTTTTTGTTCGAACGTTTTTCCTTCTTCAGTAATTCTTACCAGTTTTTTATTTCTGCTGTGCAAAAATGGGCTCTTACAACTGTTTATTACGAACAAAACTCATTCTGCTCAAGTCATCTGTTTTTGACAAATGTCTTACCGTATATCTGCAATCCTCCTCAACAAGTTCATACGATCTCAGTGAAATGCCACTCTTGATCGTATGCTCAGTGCCGTTGTCGCGGACTCGCTTGTTATATGACACCCCTAGTGGCTTGTCACCTTCGGATAACAATCAAACGGTCATTGCTTTTCCTGGAAATCATTTAAGATAGGAATGATTTCTTTTCTGTTTTGCTATATAATGAGACATATATAAAGTAATGAGCTTTGGGGGGCTGTGAATGAGTGAAGGAGTGGAAAATGAAAAAAAAAAGAAAACTGAATGAGTGAATGGGAAGTGAAAAGAAAAAAAAAAACTGAATGAGTAAAAAAGTAAGAGCTCATCTGGTCAATCCATAAACTACTATGTCCATATGAATAAACACTGCCATCTTGATGACGCACTGCTTGTAATGTTCTCCACAGTACTCCATCTGGTTTTCTTGAAGGCGCAATCTGGTAGTGCTATTCCCAAACAAATTAAAGATGCATCATTCCCTATCGTTTACCTTGCAAAAATTGCGGGAGAGGCAGCTCACAATCCATCTATGTTCGTAGGAGTCCTGGTAACAGTAACTCATTTCATGGCTAGTTCTGGTTGGAATTACTCACTCAAAGTGTATGGTGTCAAGAATAAGCCCTCTTTGAGAAGTGCTGGAACCAACGATATAATGACGTTGGGTGTCGTCGCAAATTCGAAAAAAACGAAAATATATTTACTATGTTGCAACGTTTTCTCTACTGAAAGGAAAGATAACATCAGAAAATGAGTGGTTACAATTCCCGGGTAAACAGCTACACATCTAAAAACATAACTGAAAAACGAGGACGAAATTTTGGACAGTTTAAACGAGTTCGGGCATTTCCAGTCATGATTTAGTTTCATGACTACAATCATGTCACCGAATAACAATGAATTAAAAGTTCGCAACGGAAATTTATACATGACATATCAGTAAAACTTATATCCAACCACTAACTGACCACAATGTATTTCTCGATCATACAGAAAACATAAGTAAACTGGGAGATCATGAGAAATCAATGTAAAATTCAAACAGAAAAATTCTATTTTACTGGCGTGGACCGTGAGTAATCCAAATAAGGGTTTAGCTTAGTGCACAGAAGAAATTTATTACAGCATACTGAAATTTGATATGAAGCGTACCATCCCTTGAACTACAGACTGTTCATTAAATGATTATGGATACCACTGGCAGAATTTGGAAAATTGTGCGGCGCCATACCATACACAGACTGCTTGAAAGATCATGGCTAGAAATAGGATGAAACAATTATGTGTGCGCAATAAATACAATACCATAAAAGCGATTGATCTATTACCCGGATTTGGCAACAATTACTACCAGCAATGAGACACAGAAAAGAGTAACAGTAATCATTTTCCGGATGGCTTGAAAGTCTACAAGCGTTTCTTTTCATCTCTCAAATTCTAATTAATATTATACACATATTGTTGGCAGGAATATACAGCAGCAGTGCCAAGTACCAGAATGTTATAATCTACTAAATGTAATGTACCATTGTTTAATCTTTGAAATTGATTATGATTTGCTTTTGTTTCAGGTCATCAAATCGATCCATCGTGTGTATTGACTGTACCATCAGATAACCGAACAAGAGAATGCTTAAAAAGACAACAGAAACGATAATACCCATCCAAGTGCCAGCACTAAACGTCCCAACACAGTCCGATGTATGGTACCCGAACTTTGTCTTGTTACCTGCAACTCCCAAAGTCACCTGAAATTAATTTAACTTTACTTGACATGTTCCCGTCGCACTCTACAATCACTGCTCATCAGGTCTTCGACTTCAATTTTTTCATTTTCTGCTCCCGTTTTTTCACGCGTTCTCATTAAAATGGCTTTAAAAGGAACACAATAAATATCGTGAAAAATGACTGCAAGAAAATTTACAGTCACTTACTTCGAAATTCCGTAGCACAATTCCAACATGTGTTGGATTAGTATCACCTGATACGTTGAAAACTGCAGCATCCGTTTGATAACAAGCAAAATTTCTGTTAAACACGGCTCCAACATCTACTCGATTCGTAGCAGTACCATTGCTCACAGTTAGGCCTTGCTAAATGAGAACTGATTGTAATATAAACACCGTTCATCAAATTATAAAGATTATCAATTGGTAACAATGTCTCGCCTATGATTATGAGTCTGCAAAATATAACTACTCTTATTTTGGATATTAAACCACAATGCAAAATACTACCAATACCTCTTAAAGTATTTTATGCATAAAAAAAAAAAGGAAATACCAACTTCGCTGCCCACAGCAGTAATTTTGAAACTATTCTTTAACGTGGTACCATCTAAATACCAATAGCCATTCCGACTTCGTACGAAATCTAACCTGAAAATTATGAACTTTAAATTTCAACACTAATATACAATTGAATGAATGATTAGTTGAAAATGTGACTCACTGAAATGTTATCGCAGTCCCACTCTTCAAAGAGAATTCTTTTTTGGCGTCTTGTATGTCCTCTTCAACTTCAACATCAATTATAAAACTAAAATAATTTCTTATTTTAATTCATCATCGTTGTAAATTTGTTAGGAATAAAAACCAATATAGGAGACATATTCCTTTTTTTTTTGTTAGCAATCAAATTCGAAGTGGCACGAGATCTAAGATTACAAATGCAGCCAACCTTGCACCACCTTGCCTGTTGATATTGCACTTATAGTGGTCTGGCTCAGAAGAATACTTGTTTTTGCCCTCACTATCAACAGTTAAGTAACGAGAGTTCGGAATAACAATGTCGAAGGCTTCCATATAGAGTAAACACGTTGTTTTTTGCGATGGATTAGGAGGAGGCAGCACCACAGGCATATCCTGGACATAAAATTGTATATATTTCAAAAAAAAACGATTACAGGGAACACCGAACAAGCTTCCATACAGTACTGTATATAATACGGAAAAGAAATTTCTATGATGCGGCAAGTCACTGAAATTAAGAAATAAAATCTCTTTTGAAGAGATTAAAGAGACTTCTTTTAAAGAAGTAAAAAAAAAACATGCAAGACAGACAAGACCGTAAAGCCAGTGAGAGTAATCATTCAAAAATTCACTGCAACAAATCATGCGAGGTACAATTTACCACGAGTGTAAAATATTCAAAAGTAATTGACGAACAGCGGCTGCCGTTCTACAGCGTTATCCGGTAAATTGTCGTACATGTGAGGTATACTTCATCAAACAACTCAGTGTCGAAGATGAAGTAATGAAGGAATTCCTATATTCGGCACGAAACTATTTTGAAAACCTTCGTAAAATTAAAATTTGGACAAACGACTTTTTTCCGAAAGTTTTTTTGAACAGTAATCAAAAGTGGTTCAGTAAAAATAATAAGGAAACCAAGCAAATGTGCTATAAGTACAACAATTTATCGATATTTTGCCAAAAGGAACTTGCTATAGTCTTTAAAAACAGACAACCTTGTAAACATGCCATCTTAATTTTCGACGCGCATAATCCCTGTTAAACTTAAAAAACGACAAAAATTAATAACTTTATTATATCCATTCACATTCTAAAAATCGCATGGGTATTAAGATGTTCTAACATGGTGTAAACCATGCTTACAAATATGCTGAGGAAAAGAAATAGATAATGTTTTAACTAAAATGACCTAATCAACCGAGTTAGAAGTGATAGAAGTGGATCTCATGCCTGAAAACAACGCATACAATCTGACATGGCAGAGCTGTGTGCTCTGCCTAAGAAATGTTGCTATTATTGAAAATTCTTTTAAAAAAAAATATGCTGAAATAAAGAAGGAAAAATTACATGACGGTCCGAAGCAGATGACCGCTGTGTTGCTTTTGATACATGAGATGATGGCTCGTCATCAAAATTAACATTAGAGGAAACACGCTTTCGACGGACCTGCAAAGGTTACCGTGATGATACAATTACTGATACATTACTCTATCATGTAATGTACAACAGATGGAAAAAACAAACCAATCCTTCTTCGAAAGCATCCTCAGAAGAAATAATGACTGTTTGATAACCTTTAAAATTCTCATCAGATGCTAGAAGATCGTGCAAATCTTTTCGGGTGTAAACTATATCAGTAGTTGATCTATTAGCATCATCATCGCTAGAAATCACCTAAAATCACTTTACAAAACAACAGAAATATAAATGGTACAGAATGGTATAAATGGTACAGAATGGTATAAATGGTACAGAAATATAAATGGTACAGAATAT